ATATAAGTATGGCTACTCCAGCTTTCTTATGTTGACATTAGCATGAGAGATGGTTCTCCATCCTCTTCAATCTGAAGGCGTCTTTTGGTCTAAAATGGGTCTTTTGTAAATAGCATATTAATGGATCTTGTTTTCTTATCCATTCTGTTACCCTATATCTTTTGATTGGAGCATTGAGTCCATTGACATTTAGAGTGAGTACTGAAAATTATTAATTTATTGCATAATGGCAATGTTGTCTGTAGAGTTGGAGTTTCTGGTGGTGTTATCTGGTCATTTCTAGTCTTTGTTACTTTTGTCTTTTTTTTTCCTTCTTTTCTCCCCTCAGAGAGTCCCCCTTAAAATTTCTTGCAGGCTGGTTTAGTGGTCATGAACTGTTTTACTTTTGTTTGTCTGGGAAACTTTTTATCTCTACTCCTATTTTGAATGATAGCTTTATTGGATAAAGGATTCTTGGCTGCATATTTTTCTGATTCAGCACATTGAATATATCCTGACACTCTTTTCTTGCCTGCCAAGTTTCTGTGTATAGGTCTGTTGTGAACCTGATCTCTCTTCCCTCGTAGGTTAAGGACTTTTTCTCCCCTTGCTGCTTTCATGATTCTTTCCTTGCCTGAGTATTTTGTGAATTTTAGTATGATATGCCTTCTTGATAGTTTTTGTTAAATCTACTGGGAGTTCTCTGTGCTTCCTGGATTTTGATGTCTGTGTCTTTCCCCAGGTTAGGAAAGTTTTCCACTAAGATTTGCTCACATATATCTTCTACCCCTTTTTCTTTCTTTTCATTTTTTGGACCCCTATGATTTTGATGTTATTCCTTTTTAATGACTCACTTAATTCTCTAAATCTTATATTGTTCTCTTTCGCCTAAGTCTCTTTCTTTTTTTCTGCTTCATTATTCTCCATAAGTTTGTCCTCTATATCGCTGATTCACTGCTCTCCTTCATCCATACTTGCCACCATGGCATCTGTTTGAGATTGCACCTCAAATGCAGCATTTCAAATTTCATCCTGACTACCTTTACTTCTTTTATCTCTGCAAAAAGGGATTCTATCCTATTTTCAACTCCAGCTACTATTCTTATTATCATGATTCTAAATTATGTTTCAGACATCTTGCTTGTATTTGTGTTGATTAAGTTCCTGGCTGTCATTTCTTCCTGTTCTTTCTTTTGGGTTTACTTCCTTCACTTCATCATTTTGAAGGAAGAAAAGGAAATAATAAATTAAAGAAATAAAAATTTAAATATTAAAAAAAACACAAATTAAAGATGCTAGATACTAGGTGTGTTTTGGTCTGTTTGATGAAAGAAGCTTGATAGAATAGAGAAAAAAAAGGAAAGTAAAGGAAAGGAAAAAGGAAAGGAAAAAAGAAAGAAAACATTTGAAAATTCAAAAAAACTGAATACAATAAAATAGAATAAAATGAAATGAAAGTAAATTAGAATTTAAAAAATTTACAAAAAAGTGAAAAACATAATAGAAAAAAATTAAAGAACAATTATTTTTATAAAGATAGAAAATAAAAATATTTTTTTATTTTTCTGTATTCAAGAATAAGAAAAGAAAAGAGAAAAAGAATTGAATAGATGAACCAACAAACAGAATGAAATACGATTGAAATTACATCCAATTTCCCCTAGAAATCAAACTATGTAGCACTTTATAGTCTGTAAACTAAGCAGGCAGAGAGATTTGTGGTGTTCCTCAAGAGCATGGATCGCCCAGTTGGGCAGCTCTTTTCTCCACTAGATGGTGCTGCTTACCTTACTGGGGTGGATTGTTGTGGTGCATGTAGGCATGTATGCACTTGCATTGGAGGAGTGCAAATGGCATCACCCAGCCACCCAGTCTAGTATCAGGACTCTGTGCTTTCCCCCACCTGTAATCAAGCACCCCTCCTTTGTCTCCAGCTTCCATCCACTTCCCCCCTTTACACTGTCTGTGACGAAGCCATCAGACTGCCACCTGCCTCCTGAGTTTTATCTCAGATAATTCTGTGTTTCCCTACCCCTCACTTCTGAGGGACTGCAGCTTTGGCCCACTCAGAGCCTCTGGGGGAAGGTCTCACCTAGCAATGGCCAGTTGCTGGCCTGCCCCCACAAACACTCATGTGACTGTGCTGCTGCCAATGTCCAAAGACTGTGGCCAGGTGCCAGCCTGCCCCAGAAAAAGTTCACACAATCCTGTAGCAGCTGCATTTCAGGGATTATGGTAAATCACAACACACATCTGGCTCCAGGCTTCAACCTTAACATCCTTGTTCAAACACCAGTGAATGTGCTTGTTCATCATCCAATGGGAACTTTGGCTGTGGGAAGGCCACACAGCCTCTACCAAGTGTCCTCCCAGCTGGAGAACTACTTCTCCCTGTGTGGCCCAAGGACACCCAAGGACCTTGTTCTCTGATCCTGGGGATTCACCCTTCCTGCCAGAGAACCACCAGGTAGATTCACCCTTCCTACCAGAGAACCACCAGGTATCAAGCTGTGGAGTTTCAGAATCTGCACTCCCCCTGTTTATAGAGTCTTAGTGGAATTTAAACCCTCTCCATTCTCCTTTCTACCTTTTTTATTCAGTCCCTTGTGTCTGTGTCCACTGTTCTTCTTCCTCTCCAGCTGCTTTTGGGGAGGGTAGGGGGCAGCATTTCCTGTACTCTCCCCCATCTCTGTCATCTCTCCATAGGCAAAAACAGTTCCCTGCCCTCCTCGGCTTCTCTGTCCCCAAGTTCACCTCTCCATGCCACATACCTGCCAAGTTCTGTGGTTCTGTGGTTCAACCTGTGAAGATTGATGTGTTAATCCTCAAATCAGTTTTCTAGGTGTGCAGGATAGTTTGGTGTTGATCTGGCTACATTTCAGGGATGAGAGATGCACAAAAACTTCTATGCTGTTCCATAGTCTTGCCCCCTTCTCCTTTGATTTTTTTTTTTAATATGAGTCATTTTCTTTATTTTTCCTTTATTCTTTATTTTTTTTTATTTGATGAGTCTGGCTAAGTTTTTATCAATTTTGTTACCCTTTTTAAAGGATCAGCTATTGATTTCATTGATTTTTTTTTGGTCTCTCATTTCTCTGTGCTCTGATCTTTATTATTTCATTCCTCCTACTCATCTTGGGCTTTGCTTATTCTTCTTTTTTCTAGTTCCTTTATATGTAACTTAGATCTTTACTTGAGCTTTTTGCATCTTTCTTGAGGTAGGCCTTTATTATTATATATTTCCCTATTAAAATTGTTTTTGTTCCTTCCAAAATACTTTGGGCCATTGCATTTTCGTTTTCATTTGTCACCATGTATTTTTTTTTTAATTTATTTATTTAAATTCAATTTAGTTAACATACAGTGCAGTATTGGTTTCAGGAGTAGAGCCGAGTGATTCATTACTTACATATAACACCCAATGCTCATCCCAACAAGTGCCCTCCTTGATACCCATCACCCATTTACCCTATCTCCCCACCCACCTCATCTCCAGCAATCCTCAGTTTTTCCTCTGTACTTTAGAGTCTTCTATGGGGGCACCTTGGTAGCTGAGTCTATTAAGCATCTGACTTCCATTCAGGTCATGATCTTGTGGTTTGTGGGTTTGAGCCCTGAATCAGGCTCTGGGATAACAGCTTGGAGGAGCCTGCAACCTGATTCAGGTTCTGTGTCTCCCTCTCTCTCTGCTCCTCCCCCACTCGTGTTCGCTTGCTTTCTGTCGCTCTCTCTCTCACTCCCTCTCTCTCTCAAAAATAAATAAAAACATTAAAAAAGTCTCTTAAGTTGTCATGTATTTTTTTCATTTATTCATTTACCCTTTTGTTGTTTAGTAGTATGTTGTTTAGCCTCCACATGTTTGTGTTGCTTCCATTTTTTCTCCTGTGATTGCTTTCTAATTTTATACTGCTGTGGCCAGAAATGATGCATGCTATGATTTCAAACTTCTTAAATTCATTTAGGCTTGTGATTTTCTCTGGAGAATGTTCTATGTGCACTTGAAAAGGATATGTATTCTGTTATCTTTAAACGGGATGTTCTGTATATGTTTGTTATGTTCATCTGGTCTAATGTGTCATTCAAAAAGACTACTTCCTTATATTTTCATTTTCTGCCTTAATGATATATGCATTTATGTAGGTGGGCTGTTAAAATATCTTACTATTAATGTATTTTTTTCTCTATATGTCCTTTATTATTCGCTATGTACTTGAGTGCTCTAATGTTAGGTGCATAGATAATCACAGTTGTTATATCATCTTCTTGAATTGATCTCTTTATTATTAAGTAGTGCAGTTCTTTGTCTTTTGTTACAGTCTTCGGTTTAAAGTTTATTTTGCCTGATATATTGCTATCCTTCCCTTTTTTATCACTTCCATTTACATAATAAATGAGTTTTTTCATACCTTTACTTGCAGTCTGTATTTGTTTTTAGATATGAAAAACAGTATAGGCAGTATAAATATGAGTCCTGTATTTTTTAATCCATTCTTCTACCCTATGGATTTTGACTGGAGCATTTAGATAATTTACACATAATTATTTATGGGTAAGTATTGCTTGACATTTTGTTTACATTTTCTGATTGTTTTGTAGATTTTCTCTATTCTTTTTCTCTTGCTCTCTTTCTTTGTAATTGATCAGTTTCTGTTGTGTTATGTTGGCTTTCTTTCTCCTTTTTTTTTTTTTTTTGTATCTATTTTAGGTTTTGGGTCTACAGTTACCGTGAGGTTTGTATATAACATTATAAGTATATAGCAGTCTATTTTAGTTTGATGGTCATATAAGTTCAAACACATTATTAAAAAATATTTTTTAAACTCTTTCTTCCATGTTCTATGTGTATGCTGTCATATGTTACATATTTTCATTCCTAAATGTTTTTATGTTTTATTATGGACTTTTCTTTTCCACTTAAAAATGTTTACATATGCTTTGGCCACTCTCCAGGTAGCAGCCTACTCAGTGCCCTCTCCTGTGTCCCTGGGCCTGATCCTTCTCTTCTTTTCCCTCAACCTCAGGTGGAACCGCTGGCAAGTTGCAGATTTCCATGAAAACTTTTATGGGGAAGATTATCACTCTTGAGATTGAACCCTCAGATACAATAGAAAATGTAAAGGCCAAGATCCAAGATAAAGAAGGACTTCCTCTTGATCATCAGAGACTGATCTTCACTGGCAAGCAACTGGAAGATGGATGTACTTTGACTACAACATTAAAAAGTAGTCCACTCTTCATCTTATGTTGAGATTTCGTGGTGTTACTAAGAAAAGGAAGAGGAGTCTTTCACTACTCCCAAGAAGAAAAAACATAAAGAAAGTTAAGCTGGTTGTCCTGAAGTACTATAAGGTGGATGAAAATGGCGAAATCAGTAGCCTTCATCAGGAGTGCCATTCAGATGAATGTACTGGAGTTCTTAACATCAGACACTTTGACAGACATTATTGTGGCAAATGTTGTCTGATCTATTGCTTTAACAAACCAGAAGACAAGTAATTGTATATGGATTAATAAAAGATATGAACTAAAAAAAGTCTCTTTAATATTTTTTATAAAGCCAGTTTAATGGTGATAAATTCCTTACCTTTAGTCTGTCTGAGAAAATTTTTATCTCTCCTTTAATTCTGAATGATAACCTTTCCAAGTAAACTATTCTTTGTTATATATATTTTTTCTTTCAGCATTTTTAATGTATCATGCCACTCCCTTTTAGCCTGCAAAGTTTCTGGTAAAAAATCAGTTGATAGTTTTTATTAGGTTTCCCTCATACATGACATTTTGCTTCTCTTCTGCTGCTTTTTGGATTCTCTATTTACCTTTAACCCTTGGCATTTTAATTATTATGTGTCAGGGTGTAAACTTACTTGTGTTCATCTTGTTTGGAATTCTGTGATTCTTGAACGTGGATGTCTATCTCCTTCCTTAGGTTAGGTAATTTTGCAGCTATGATTTCTTCAAGTAAGTTTTTTTTGCCTCTTTCTCTCTTCTGAGACCCCTGTAATGTGAATATTTTCTTGCTTGATATTGTCCAAGAGTCCTTTAACCTATCCCCACTTTTTTTGTATTCTTTTCTCTTTTTGGTGTTGAGCTTGGTACTTTTCATTGTCCTATCTTTCATATTGTTGGTATGTTTTGCATCTGATAATCTACTGCTGATTCCTTCTAGTGTATTTTTCATTTCAGTTATTGTATTCTTCAACTCTAATTAATTGTGTTTTTTTTTATATTTTATATCTCTTGGTTGAAGGTCTCAGTGAATACTTCAACTCTTCTCTCCATCCTGATGAGTGTCTTTGTGGTCATTACTTTAAATTCCTTATCAGGGATATTGCTTACCTTTATTTTATCTAGTCCTTTTTCTGAGGTTTTGTATTTTTCTTTCTTTTTGAACATATTCCTGTCTCCACACTTGCTTGACTTTCTGTGTTTGCTTCTATAGATTAGGCAGAAATTCTCTTTCTTCTAAATAAATGGTCTTATTTGCACTTGACCCCTATGTAGACTGTGTGTGTTGGTGACTTTTACTGTCTTACCGGAACTGTGGCTGGTGTGGGCTGGAAGTTGTACAGCAATCTAGGTTAGGCTGTCCCAGTGTAACGCCTAGAGCTGATGTGGGCCTGGGCCAGTGTGGTCCTAAGTCTCTACTCTCAGAAGGTGCCTTGGCAGGATTCCTGAACCTTAGTGGGTGCAAGCTGAGGAGTCCCGGTGCTCTCCACATAGTAGGTGCTCTGGAATGAAAAGATAAAACTACAGGGTATGCAAGCCAGTATGTTCAGAGGCTCTACATGCTGAGGGGATCTTCACAAAATACCTGAAGCAGAAGTGGGTGTAATCCAGGGTTTTTCTGGGCTCTGCATGGAGAGTGCCCTGGCAGGGCAGCAGAAGATCAGGCACGTTGTGGGCCAGGATGGCCTGAGTTTCTTTACACAGAGGGTACTCTGGGAGACAACTGAAGCTGAAGTAGGTGCAATCTAGGGGGATCCCGGGGCTGTCCACACAGTAAGCACCCAGGCAGAGTCGCAAAAGCTGAAGTGGCTACAAGTCAGATAGTCCTGGGGTTCTATACACAGAGGGCACCCTAGCAGGAGAGCTGAAGCTTAAGTGGTTGCAATTCAGGGATCCCAGGACTATCCATGCAGCAGACACCCTGGTAGGTCAGCTAACATTTATATACGTGCAGGTCAGGGTTTTTCTGCGGTTCTATGTGCTGAGGGCACCCTGGAAAGACCGCTGAAACTGATGCAAGTTCAAGTCAGGTGTCCATGGTGCTCTGCAGATGGGGTGCCCTAGTGGATCAGGACCTGGGGAATTGTGTAAGCTGGGTGGTCCTGGTCTTTTCCATGCAGAGAGTGCTCTGGCAGGATAGCTGAAGCTGAAATGGTTGCAAGCTAGGGAGGTTCCGAGGCTTTACACACAGAGAGCTCCTTGGCAAGATAGTTGAAGTTATAGAGGGTGTAAACCAGTGTGTTCCAGGACTCACGGCAGAGGATGGCCTGGAGGGGCAGTTGGAACAAAAGCAAGATTATGCTAAGTGTTCTTGGGTCAATCTACACAGGGGGATCCTTAGCAGTATCGTCAAAAATTCACTGGGCAAGAGTCAGTGTGGTCCCTGGGCTATATGCAAAATGTCCCCTGTCAGGACATCTCAAGCTAAAGTGGAAGCAAGCTAGGGTGTCCCAGGACACTCCACACTAAAGGTGCCCTGGCAGAATACCTGAAACTGAAGTGGGTGAAAGATGGGATTTCCCAGGGCACATAGTACAGGAGATGCCTTGGCTGCATGATTAGAGCTTAGGCCTGCACAGGCAAGGGTGTTTTAAGGCATTATGTGCAGGGGTAACTTGGAAGGGTGGCTGGAACTGAGGTGGGCATGGGCTGGAGGTTCCTGTGGGGCTTTGCACAGGGAACACCCTCGTGGTGCAGCTAGATCCAAAGCAAAGTTCAGCTTGGAGGTCCCAGAGCTGTCTGCACCAGGGGTGCCCTAGCAAACTATCTGAAGCCAAGGTGGTGTGGACCTAGAGTGTTCTGGGATACTTTGTTCCTGTGTCAGGCCAGACTGGGGAGATAAGAGGGTTTGCTTTTATCTGTTAAATATATTGGATACAATATCAGGATGCATCACCTTAGCCCTCAGATATTCCTACGATCTCTCTCTCTCTCTCTTTAATGTTTATTTGTTTGAGAGAGTGGGAGAAAGACAGAGAGAGAGAGAGATAGAGAGAAAGAGAGAGAATCCAACAGAGCCTGACACAGGGCTCTAGCTAACGAACTGTGAGATCATGACTGCAGCCAAGGTTGGATGCTTACCTGACTGAGCCACCCAGGTGCCTCTAAGAAAACATTGAATCACTGGAGTACAGGGTACAAGGAGGGAAAGTACAAGAGGTAGATCAGGAATGTCAGTTTAGAGTCTAGTAAATGATTTTAGACTATCCTGTAGACAAAGAGGAGCCATCGAGTGCTTTTGAGCTGGAGAGTGACATGATCAGAACTGAAGGTTAGACAGAAGATGAAAACACATCTAAAACTGTCAGCAATGTGGTCTGCAAGTGTTTGTCTCACTAGTTCATGACTTTACAGATTTTTCCTCTCCTACTTCACCCCTCCTAGGACAAACTCTGGGAGGCTGGTTAGCCAGGTCTCTGGTGGGAGCTCTCCATGGGCCCAACTCCACCTTCCTCATGGAAAATGAGGCTCAAACTTAGCAATGGAACACAGATCCAGTTATGACACCTTATTTTCTACAATGATACTCTCATTATTGCCAAGCCTAAGTAGGACATCTCCACCCCTCAGTATGATGGGAATGGACAGGGATGGGGGAGACTGGAGCGGTTCCTTCTGCAAGAGGCTTTTGGAATAAGGCAAAGCTGCCTATACAAGTCTTGCTAAGGTTCATTATATATACAATTCCCTCTCTCTAATATTCCTAGAATAGAGACACCATTCTGTTTTATTTTAGGTAGGAAAGATACAGAAAGAAAGCTTAAAACTTTAGGCAAAAGAAGCACAGATTCCAGGCATTCATCAGAATTGGAGAGGGAAGTTATCCAGCAGAAAACCTTCCTTTAGCTTGAGCACCCAAGGCCTTCCCCAGGCTTGGTCAGTAATGAAAAGCAAATTCTTTTGGGCAGACCCAAGTCTGAAATGCATGGACATAAATCCTAGGCTTGTCAACAGCCTGAAACTTAAGAAGCATGTATGTCTGAGTAAGGTGTAAGTTACCTGCTGCCTGAACACAATGACAATGAAAGAAACTTCTGCCACACTTCCTTCATGATTGATTGGGCTATGGCCAACACTACTGTCACTTTCTTGGAAGGCAGCTATGTGGGTGTCCCCTTTTCCTCTCTGTCATCCACACCTTCTTTATTCTTTATTTTTAAATTCTTAAAAAATATTTTTATTTACGCAATTATGAAATATTACCTTATACAAAAATGTATAAATTATGTGTAATTTAATGAATAATTATAAAGTGAAAACCTATGGAACATTCTGCCCCACCATGTCTAGCTTTTAGGAATTCCATGCATCGGAAAAGACAGGCTATTCGCAACGTCGTGGATGGAACTAGAGTGTATTATTGTAAGCAAAATAAGGCAGGCAGAGAAAGACAAATATATGATTTCACACATATGTGGAACTTAAGTAACAAAACAGATGAACATAAGAGAAAGGAAGGAAAAAAGATAAAAACAGAGACAGAGGCAAACCATGAGACTCTTAAATACTGAGGGTTGCTGAAGGGGAAGTGGGTGGGAGATGGATTAAATAGGTGATGGGCATTAAGGAGGACACTTGTAGGGATGAGTACTGGGTGTTATATGTAAGTGATGAATCACTGGGTTCTATTCCTGAAACCAAGACTACACTGTATGTTAACTAACTTAAATTTAAATAATGTTTTTTTAAAGAAAAGACAGGCTAAATAAGGAAAAGGAGAAAAAAATATGCACTAATAGTAGGTTTTTAAGGGCTACACAGATCTCCCCCCTCTCACACACCCACATTTGATTACTGAGTGCCCACCAAGGCAGTTTACATAGTGAATATTCAATGAATGCTTTTAGAAGGTTAAAAACCCAAACAGAGTCAAAGATAAAGTCTCAGACATGCATCTCACACAGGAACACAAAGACCTACTCTATATGCTGCTGCTTAACAATCCCACATAGCACAACCACTCCAATGCCTTCTCACACACATTTGCATGGCACATATATCTATCTTTACATATGCTCTCACATGTACACATTTATGGATGTGCATACCTCTGTTACTACACTTTTATCATTATATACTCACTTTCACTTATGCTTCTACTTTATTCCCACAACATACCATTCCCACAACACACCGCACACATGTGTGTGCATCAATATCCACATACATTTCCACCAACATGCACATGCAATCACACATAAAACCCTTATGCTCATATACACACCACACACCCCTCTACTTAAGCTCACACACTCACATTTCATGCCCATATACAAGCTCGGGCACACACATATGTTCTCTCTCTCT